AAGTTTTCAGGCCTAGTGAAAAATTTGCAGGGTCGGTCCCAACAGTGGGTGGGTTTTCACCCCTGATGGACTTGAGCAGAGGATATCTAAGGTAGAGCGTGAACGGACATCTTGAAATATAGTTGTTCCACTGAGACCCATGCCTTAACCCGGTCATGCACAGACCAGTCGACAACCCTGGACAGATGGCAAGACCAATTATATTTTTTAAGGTCTGGGAGGCCCAGCCCACCTTTATGTTTGGGCATGGTTAACAGGGTGTAGTTGAGTCTACGAGATGCCATACCTCACTCACAGCACACAAGATTGCCAATCACTTCCAAAACAAGAACGACGCAATCCGTAAGGACATCGCCAATGCTCAATCTACCTCCCCACCTAGCCTCCCTCCCACTATAACACCATCTACTCTCCCCTTCTCTGACCTCGCAACCACCCTGCCCCCCACCACACACCTAACATCCCGCACACTTTAACCTCTCTAACACTCCTCTCCTTCAGCCTTGCTACCACTGAGGAGGTCTTCTCAGAAGCCCGCCTCACCACTTGCCCCCTTGACCCTGTCCCCACACAACTCCTCCGGTCACCCTCCTCCTCCATCCTATGCTCCCTCACCCACATCTTCAATCTCTCCCTCTAAACTGGCGCATTCCCCTCCCCCCTAAAGCACGCGCACATCACCCTCATACTCAAAAAACCCTCCCTGGACCCCACCGACCTGAACAACCTTAGACCCATCTTCCTGCTGCCATTCACATCCAAGCTCCTTGAGTGCTTAGTCTACAATCGCCTAAGCTCTCACCTCACTGACAACAACCTCCTCGATCCACTACAGTCTGGCATCCGTCCCCTACACTCCACCGAAACCGTCCTACTCAAAATCACTAATGACCTGCTAACCACCAAAGCTAATGGCCACTACTCAGTCCTCCTACTCCTTGACCTTTCCGCGGCCTTCGACACAGTTGACCACCCCCTCCTCCTTAATAAACTACACTCCCTTCGCATCAGAGACTCCACTCTCTTCTGGCTCTCCTCCTATCTATCCCAACACTCCTTCAGCGTTACCTATAACGCTACCACCTCCCCCTCTCTCCCCCTCTCTGTTGGGGTCCCCCAAGGCTCTGTCCTCGGGCCCCTTCTCTTCTCCATCTACACCTCCTCCCTTGGCAAACTGATACACTCCCACGGCTTCAACTATCACCTCTACACCGATGACACGCAAATTTACCTCTCCACCCCTCACCTCACCCCTTCAGTCTTCGCCTGTATCACCCACCTACTGAACGACATATCAGACTGAATGTCGCTCCATTTCCTTAAATTGAACCTTTCCAAAACCAAGCTCCTAATTTTCCCCCCAGCTCACGCCCCCCCCCCATCCTCTCCATCATGACCAACAACGCCACCATCAGTCCCACCCCCGCAAGCCAAAGTCCTAGGTGTCACTCTAGACCAGCAATGGGCAAACTACGGCCCGCGGGCCGTATACGGCCCGGCGGACCTTTTAATCCGGCCCGCGGAGCGTGATACATTGGCTGTCAGGATGTGTGTAGGCGGGGCAGCGTGACGAACGTGAGGGGAGCTAGGCTCCTCTCACAGTCTGCCCTGAAGACCGGAACGGCGCGGGATACATTGGCTGTCAGGATGTGTGTAGGCGGGGCAGCGTGATGAACGTGAGGGGAGCTAGGCTCCTCTCACAGTCCGCCCTGAAGACCGGAACGGTGCGGGAACACGGCGAGAGGAACGTGCGGAGCAAAGGTAAGTAAATTGACACAGGGGGGACTTGGCTTACTACTTGTATCGGGCCAGGGCTCTTTCCCACTTTCATTTGTTTCAGGGCTTGGTCTAGTTCCTCTGCAGAGAAAGGAGCCTCCAAGCTCTGGGCTTGTTCTGGTGATATGGCCTGAGGGCCATGTTTAGCTAGAAAAGTCATTAGGTGATTGTGTCTAGTAGCTTTTGCGTCAGGAGAAGACTGGGGTGATTTCAGATTGTATAGATATTTGTAATACTTCTGGAATTGACGAGCAATCGCCTGCGAGTTGTAGTGAAGTACCCCTGCCTTATCACATATAGAGTGGATCAGGAGAGTCGCTCTTTTAGCACGCAAGGACCTAGCTAGTAGTCTACCGCTCTTATTACCCTGTGCATAAAAAAGTTTTTGTGACAAAAGGTCATTTCTCTGTGTGCATCGGCCTAGATCTTCCTTAAGCTCCTGTCGGAGTTGAGTACACTTCAACAAGGTCGAGTGTGCTAGGGAGAGTTTGTGTGCATGTCCAAGTTTTGTTATTTCAGATGTGAGGTCTTGAATCCTACGCTGATGCTCTTTTTTGAAGGCTGTCTGCATAGCTATAAGCTCTCCCAAAATCACACATTTCTATGCCTCCCACTGAGTCAAGGGGGATGTGTCTGGCATATCATTGAGAGTAAAGAAAGACTGGAAATTTGCCTATAGTGTTTGTACCCGCAGGGGGTCACAGAGGAGAAAGGAGTCCAATCTCCAGCATTTTGTTTTAAATTCTCTTTCTGGAAACGATAAAGTCATAGAGATAGGGTGGTGATTTGAGAGGATCATAGGTTCAATGGTGGTGGACATAATGTAGTGTAGGTCAGCTTGGGAGCGAAAGAGGTAATTTATGGGCAAATATTTCTGATGAAGTGGGGAGAAAAACGTGTCGTCTTTTACAGATGGATGCAAGACCCTCCAAGAATTGTGAAAAGAGAGATCTGAGAGGCAGTTTTTTAATGTTGTGCAGAGCCTTAAAGGGTAGAGACAAGGCGCCAATGGATGAGTCTAACAAAGGCGTGAGAGGCACATTAAAATCGCCCCCCACCACCAGAAGACCCTCTGCAAAGTCTGCTGACTGTATGCACAATTCCCAGAAGAAGCCCACCTGGCCCTCATTGGGGTAGTAAATATTGGCTAGAGTTAATGGACAGTGGCCAAGTTTGCCTTTAAGAAACAAGAATCACCCATTAAGATCTGCTTTTTGAGCCTGGAGCGAGAACTGTTGGTGTTTAGCAAATAATATAGATACCCCCCTGGATTTGGATTCCCCCACAGCTGCATTATACACCACCAGGAAACAGGAGTTAGTAAGTCTGGGGGACACTATCCAACCAAAAATGTGTCTCCTGTATAAACACGATTTGGGCCGTTTGCTTGTGAAAGTGATGGAGGAACTGAGACTGTTTTTCAGGGACATTAAGGCCCTTGGCATTCAGAGCGGATCTTGAAGGAGGAGTGACAGAAGAGGGCAGACCCTCCACATAGTTTTCTATATGGTGAGGGACAGGCATTCTTAATCCCCCCTAGCAGCAATCACCAAAGAGAAAAAAAAAAAGGGAAGGGGGGACACAGGAAAGAAGAGAAAAGCAAAGTATTCCTGCCAGCCAGTAAAGAGAATGACAGCGGAGAAGGGCAAGCAAATTACCAAACTGGTCAAAAGGTAATCAATTTAGACCAGAAACACCATGGTATGGTCAGTCACGAAAAAATCCCCGCTTGGAGGGTGTAATGAGGATAAAAAAAACGCAACAATTAGGATATAAACTCTGAGGGAAGAAAACAGCATGTTAAATGTACTCAGATTCAACAACAGTACCCGGGATAGGGGAAATGGAAAGGGAATTGAGACAATTCACATAGGTCGGAGAGGTAAGCAAAAACATGAACAGGGAGATGGCACTCAGGGAGCCCAGCACCTCATCCTCAATGCTGCCCCCAAGGACAGCTACAGGTGCACGCCCCCCCAAGGAGGGTGCCCCCTGAAGACCAAAGACCCTCCCCCACCGACCAGGTCCTTATGTCCACAGGGAGGCCGCAAAGCGATACCCGTACTCAGGCCCCTAGAGAGGACATTACCCCCTACGGGATCCCGAGGCCCCTGCCGACGCAATCCCCGCCAGGAGGGTGGGGGGGAACAGACCCCACTCACTGTCATGCCACATTAGAAGGCCAGGCATATAATAAACTTAAAATGAAGGGCATTCAACAGGCCTCCATGCCTGTGTGTCAGAAGTCTTTGCCCTCTTAGCGTAGTGGAAAAGAGGTCAGGTTCTTGGAGACGGCAACTGGGAGCTCCAAAGCTGTCAGATTAGGTGACCAGTTCTTCGACACCCTGTCCACCGCCCCGGATGGCAGGTGATGGTCAGGGTGCGCCCTATCATAAGCTGAAAAATGGGCTCTCCCGGTGCCATCGGGGTGGTAGGCTTCCTGCTGTCAGGTGTCGAGGAGTCGGAAGTCCTGATACCACTCCGGCACGTCCACCAAAGGAATTTGAAGCACCTCACAGAAGGATTGCAGCTCTTCTGGATTACAAAAAACGTGGGTACGGCCTCTACAGGTGGCCGACAAGCTGAAGGGGAATTGCCATTTGTAGGCAATTCGGTGTTCCCATAGGGTGGATAGTAAGGGCCGCAGGACTCTTCGGTTTTGCAGTTGGTCATGTTCAACGGTTTTGGGAAGGCCTCTCACCCGACCCCTGTTGCCCAGATCTTTGATGTACTTCTGCATATCGGTTAAATGTAGATTGTAGAAGACAAGAATAGCAGTCATGGGGGTATCCTCCAACTGTTGCCCGACCAGCCTGGAATGGGACTTCTCCCTAGGTGGAACTGTGGTGTGGCAGTTGAACTCTAAGTCAGTCTATCTAATCTGGGCTTTAATCCTTCCATAGTAGTTTATGATAGTCTTTGAGTGAAAGTACAACAGCAGCAACTGCTCGGTTTTCTCTCAGTCAACATCCTAGAAACTCCCCTTTATAAAGGTCTCAAAGTCCTCCAATCTGGGGTTTCTGACCCAACTAGCAAAGACAGGAAGTGATGTACATAAATAACTTTATGACAGTAAGACACACAGCCACTTACAATTACAGACAGTAAAGGGCAGCAAATCTGTACAAATACTTATGGTTCCTATGCCTCCTGTTATATATTTGCTTTCACTTATGCAAACTCCAAACTTTCTGCAATTTTCTTTCACAAAATGGTAAATCTACCTGAAAGACAAGTGATGTGTTGCTGCCGCCAGAAGTCTTCTGCCCAGAATACACAGTCCAAATGAAATAGTTACCAGAAACGAGTCTTCATCAAAGTCCACTTTCTAAAATAAATTAAAATCAATGCTGCATTAAACAGTGTTAAAGAACAACCTCATCAAAATGCGTTGCATAAAATCTTATAGGTTATGTGCATTAAAACCAGATTTTTGACCATAACCAAAGCACTTAGCCTGTGGCTTAAGACCATGATTTACATTACATAAAGTGATACTAAATTGGTTTCCAAATAAAAACCGGTTGCTATGTTCATTCTTCATGATCGCATTGTATGTGGGAAGGTAGACACCTTCTCTTCCTCACTTCCAAGGTGAACTAGAGGGTATGGCTATGGGATCTGTAGTGCGCATAAAGCAGTGTATATGACCAAAACTAATATGCTTTGCTCATTCCAAACAAACAGAAGAGAGGAATAAAAAGGAGAGGTTCAGGAGCTTTTGCAGGGCATTACAAGGAGGCAGAAAAACACAGAAACAGTTTCATGAAATGTAGATTACATGGCCATTAGGTAGTAAATGTGTATGGATTATTTTTGGAAAATAAAGATATTGTTTAGTGATGTCAACAGTAAGAACTCTCCATAGAAATGAATTGAGATTGTGAAGTGCTCACAATGGCCTGTTGTAGAGAATTCTGACAAAAATCTGTGTGGTACTAAAGCTGGCCATACATTATACAATTTTCTTGTTCAATTTCCATTAGACTTACCTACAACTATATAGTACAAGGGCCTGCCTGATTGCATACAAATTGTAAGGGTATAGGTTTGACCTCATATTATATGGTTCTGGTAAATCTAAAGGAAAATTCTACAAGAAAATTGTATAATGTATGGCCAGACTAAGGAGAGTTCAAAACCAACATCTTGGTAGGTCATTCCAGGTGTGTATTAGACCAGTATGAGGGAACTGAGGGCAAGGGAAATGCCAAATCATTTGTAACTGCACTTAATAATAAGGCTTGGCTGTATTTGGCCTTTAAGTTAGCTAGTTGGCAACCTTTTGAGAAGAGAGAATACAAGCTTGACAAGTTAAGCAAGCTTGTTAGAAAATTATTTTTAAGTGTTTTTCAATGTGTACAAACATGCTTGTAAAGAAGCATACAAGAATTTACCATACCTTTGGCTTTTGTTTAGCACAGTACTGAATCCAGTCCAGATAAACGCTGCAAAAGCTGGCTCTTGTAATACCTTGCAGGCATGGAATGTAGTCTTCATCTATGTTAATATTGAACATCGTGTGGTCATTTTCTACGTGATCCCACTTTGTGAATGATTGTAAAGCCTTTTGCATTGATTGATCACTTAGCCAATGAAGAAGCTTTGGTGAACTTGTTGCAAAGTAGATTATGCTCTGTGGACACACACATTTATTGCAAACTTTAGCCCAGTTATGTATTCATCCAATTTTTTTTTCAAACAATATTTCAAAATATGTCTACAATAACAACCTAGATTCTTTTTTTATATTTTCTTGTTAAAATATGCAGCACTCTAACAGCTAGCAGGTTAATAATCTAAAGCTTTGTACACAAGGCCGAAAATTGGACAAAACTGGTGAGTTCAGCAGGAACCGCCTGACTTTCGGTTTCTGTGCACAGCTGGTTGTTCTACAGAATCTGGTCTCACGAAAACCAGCATCTGACCCACATCTGATCAGTGCTTTCAGCCAATGGCTTTGAGTGCTGGTCAGTGTGTTCTTGAGGTGGGGGCAGTCCTAATTTGCAATACAATAGCACAGCGGTGGAGATCATCGCACTAACATCGCTTGAGTACAGCAAATATGTCAGGTTTTTTTTTTGTTCAGTCCATTGGGTTGAACGGAAAAAAAAACTTCTAATGTGTACCCAGCATATGTGCCTACGCTGCTCCTTACCCAATACAAATCAATAGGAATGCAAAAGCAGCTTGAAACTGTTTGATTTTCCTAGAAGAAAGATCCCCCCTGTCAATGAACTGTGAATGATCAAAAGTGTCAAAAACTGATCTAAAAGATCACCTAAAAGCAAGCTGCATTTGCCCATCAACACAAGCCTTCAGTTTGTTTTCCATCTCATTTTCAGGCAATGGGAGGAATTTAGGAAGCTAACATGAAAGGAGCACAAGAAGGACCTTACTAGTGTAAAAATGCTCTTTGTATGGGAACATTACAGTTTTACAGCACAGTGTGTGAATCAATAGATATTGGCAGATCAGTGATATCATGGGGGCCGTGATCATTTCGAAGCATGAATGTCCGCCAAGCGCTACACAAAATGACACAATTAGCATTATACAAATTGTGTGAGTGTTGGAAGATCCACCTGGTTTATTTTACACACACACACATATATATATATATATATACATACAGTTGTGTTCAAAATAATAGCAATATGTTGAAAAAAGTGAATAAAAGCTCAAATTCCTTCTAATAGCTTTTACTTCCATACACACAAATGCATTGGGAACACTACACATTCTATTCCAAATCAAAAGATGAAGAAAAATATATCAAATTTGTGTTGTTCCTCTAAAAAAATTGAAGAAAAGTGAATATTAGACTGTTCAAAAAAATAGCAGTGTTTGTATTCTTCTTTACAAACACAAACATTCACTATATAAACTGAAAAATGTTTGAAGATTTTGTTTTCCTTTGAATCACTTAATGAATATTTAGTTGTATAAGCACTGTTTTTGAGAACTGCTGTACATCTGTGTTGCATGGAGTCAACCAACTTCTGGCACCTGTGAACAGGTATTCCAGCCCAGGATGATTGGACTACATTCCACAGTTCTTCTCTATTTCTTGGTTTTGCCTCAGAAACTGCATTTTTGATGTCACCCCACAAGTTTTCTATTGGATTAAGATCCGGGGATTGGGCTGGCCACTCCATAACGTCAATCTTGTTGGTCTGGAACCAAGATGTTGCACGTTTACCGGTGTGTTTGGGGTCGTTGTCTTGTTGGAACACCCATTTCAAGGGTATTTCCTCTTCAGCATAAAGCAGCATGACCTCTTCAAGTATTCTGATGTATTCAAACTGATCCATGATTCCTGGTATGCGATAAATAGGCCCAACACCGTAGTATGAGAAACATCCCCATATCATGATGCTTGCGCCACCATGCTTCACTGTCTCCACAGTGTACTGTGGCTTGAATTCAGTGTTTGGGGGTCGTCTGACAAACTGTCTCCGGCCACTAGACCCAAAAAGAACAATCTTACTTTCATTAGTCCACAAAATGTTGTGCCATTTCTCATTAGGCCAGTCAATGTGCTCTTTGGCAAATTGTAACCTCTTCAGCACATGTCGTTTTTTGCAACAGTGGGACTTTGCAGGGGCTTTTTGCAGATAGCTTGGCTTCACATAGGTGTCTTCTAATTGTAACAGTACTCACAGGTAACTTTAGACTTTCTTTGATCTTCCTGGAGCTGATTGTTGGCTGAGTCCTTGCCATTTTGGCTATTCTTCTATCCATTCGAATGGTAGTTTTTCGCTTTCTTCCACGTCTTTCAGGTTTTGGTTGCCATTTTAAAGCATTTGCAATAATTTTAGCTGAGCAGCCTATCATTTTCTGCACTTCTTTATATGTTTTCCCCTCTCCAATCAACTTTTTAATCAAGGTATGCTGTTCTTCTGAACAATGTCTGGAACGACCCATTTTCCTCAGAATTTCAGAAAGAAATGCACTGTAACCAGCGTGTACAACATTTGCTGCCTTCCTTCCTTAAATAAGGGCAATAATTGCCACCTGTTTTTTCAAAGAATGAATGCCTCACTAACAGAACTCCACACTGCTATTATTTTGAACATGCCCCTTTCAATTAGTGATTCAATTACACAGAATCAGCAGCATGCATGTCATGACTGTTGGGTCTGTTGGATTTCTATTACTCCACTACACCTGCTAGTAAAGTATTTGCCATGTATAAATATCATTTCTACCAAAAACAGTGATTGATCAGGTTAGTGATGTCTGACTGCTATTATTTTGAGCACAACTGTATATATACAGTCAATATGCTCTTTAGCCTATTTATCGCATACCAGGGATCATGGATCAGTTTGAATACATCAGAATACTTGAAGAGGTCATGCTGAAGAGGAAATGCCCTTGAAATGGGTGTTCCAACAAGACAACGTCCCCAAACACACCAGTAAACGTGCAACATCTTGGTTCCAGACCAACAAGATTGACGTTATGGAGTGGCCAGCCCAATCCCCGGATCTTAATCCAATAGAAAACTTGTGGGGTGACATCAAAAATGCAGTTTCTGAGGCAAAACCAAGAAATAGAGAACTGTGGAATGTAGTCCAATCATCCTGGTCTGGAATACCTGTTCACAGGTGCCAGAAGTTGGTTGACTCCATGCAACACAGATGTACAGCAGTTCTCAGAAACAGTGCTTATACAACTAAATATTAATTAAGTGATTCAAAGGAAAGCAAAATCTTCAAACATTTTTCAGTTTATATAGTGAATGTTTCAGTTTGTAAAGAAGAATACAAACACTGCTATTTTTTGAACAGTCTAATATTAACTTTTCTTCACTTTGTTTTAGAGGAACAACACAAATTTGATATATTTTTCTTTATGTTTTGATTTGGAATAGAATGTGTAGTGTTCCCAATGCATTTGTGTGTACGGAAATAAAAGCTATTAGAAGGATTTTGAGCTTTATTCAATTTTTTTTAACACACTGCTATTATTTTGAACACAACTGTATATATATATATATATATATATATATATATATATATATATATATATATATATACACACACAGTGGGTAAAATTAGTAATGAACACATCACCATTTTCTCAGTAAATATATTTCTAAAAGTGCTATTGACATGCAATTTTTCACCACATGTTGGTAACAACCCGTGCAATCCATACTTACAAAGAAAACAAAACAAATAAGTTCAGAAATGAAGTTATGTGTAATAAAATGGAATGACACAGGGAAAAGGTACTAATCTCACTAACAGAAATTTATTGAATACTTCATACAAAATCCATACAAACAGTCTTCAAATCTTGAAGGTTCTGTGGGCCTCTTCTATGAACTCTGATCTTTAGTTCTTTCCAAAAATTTGCTACTGGATTCAAGTCAGGTGATTGGATGGGCCATTCTAGCAGCTTAATTTTCTTTCTTTGAAACCAATTAAGAGTTTCCTTGGCTTTGTGTTTGGGATCATTGTCTTGCTGAAATGTCCATCCTTGTTTCATGTTCATCATCCTGGTAGATGTCAACAGATTTTTATCAAGAATGTCTGGGTACATTTTTCCATTCATCCTTCCTTCAATGATATGAAGTTTGCCAGTACCATACTGAAAAACAGCCCCACACTGTGATGTTTTCACCTGCAAACTTCACTGTTGGTATGGTGTTTTTGGGTTGATGTGCAGTGCCATATGATTTCCAAACATGGTGTGTATCATGCCATCAAAAGAGTTCAATTTTGGTCTCATCTGACCAGACTATATTCTCCCAGTATTTTGCAGGCTTGTCTAAATGTTGTGCAGCAAACTTTAAACAAGCTTCAACATGCTTTTTCTTTGGCAATGGAGTCTTGCGTGGTGAACGTGCATACAGGCCATGGTGGTTGAGTGCATTACTTATTGTTTTCTTTGAAACAATTGTACCTCTAATTCCAGGTCTTTATGAAGCTCTCCACAAGTGGTCCTTGGACAACTCTTCTGATAATTCTTTTCACTCCTCTGTCAGAACTCTTGCGAGGAGCACATGGTCGTGGCCAGTTTATGGTGAAATGATGTTCTTTCAACTTCCGAACTATGGCACCAAATGTGCTCACTGGAACATTGGGAAGTTTAGAAATACTTCAATAACTAATGCCATCTGTACGTTTTGCAACAATAAGGGTGCAAATGTCTTGAGAGAGCTCTTTGCTTTTACCCATCGTGTGATGTTCTTGTGTGACACCTTGGTAATGAGACACCTTTCTATAGGCCATCAGTTGAGACTGAACCAGGTGATATTAACTTGCACTGACAAAGGGCAGGATTGCTTATTAATTACTGACATAGTTCAGCTGGTGTCTTAGCTTTCTATGCCTTTTTGTAAATCCCTTTCTTCAAGTGTTCAATTGTTTTCCCTGTGTCATTCTATTTTATTACACATAACTTAATTTCTGAATTTATTTGTTTTGGTTTCTTTGTATGTATGGATTGCATGAGTTATTACTGACATGTGGTGAAAATTTCATATCAATAGCACCTTTAAAAACATATTTACTGAGCAAAATGGTGACGTGTTCAATACTTATTTTACCAGCTGTATATGAAACCTGGTTTGGTTCCAGAAATATCAGTGAACCACAGTGCTTTCCCCGCATTCTCCACCCACTTGGTAGTTACATATAATGTACATTATCTTTTTAGTAATGGCCTTGGGGGCAAATGCCCCCATGCCCCTGAACCCAGCACTCTCTTGTACTTTAGAGAGAAATATACAGTAGTAAGATGTATACCTTCTAACCAAAAGGTATACATGTTGGTACAGACTTTATATAGGCCTCCTTGTAATTCTGATGCATCTATAAGCTAATGGAAGAAAATGGCATACATACAGTCAAAACCATGTAAAGTATAGTGTTTAAATTATTACATAATTCAAAGCGCATTTAGCTTTTTTTATATTAACAAAAGGGAAAGGAGTCCATACCTTTACATAATATCTGATGAGAATTTTTCGGAGATCAAATACTTGAAACAGACTTGATGCATTACTATAAATGACATTGTATCCTTCCAGTATGTATTGGCCCCTAACGACTTCCCATGTCAGCCATCTTAGATTGAATGCTGAATTACATGAAAGAATATGTGGTAAATGTCCGGGCTGAAAGCAGCAACATCCTTGATTGATGTCATACCCTTCAGTTATTGCTTCTACTTCACGCTGATGGCAGTATGTTCCTTTATAAATTAAATGAAAATGATTGTGTTATTTATAAGCTTTAAAGCGAAATATTTTAAAGTAGAAGAAAATCCCAACTATATCTATTCTTAAAAATGCCCCCACGCCCACCTTTCCTGCCTATTGCCTAACCTGTATAAAAAAGATCTATGTACTTGTACATGTGCTGTAAGGAGGGAGGAGACAGTGGCAACAACGGCTGGGGTATGGGAGCCTATAGGTGATGTCACAGCTCCCGAATTTAGAGCTGTTGTCAAGCGCTCCCTTAAACAGAGCTGCAGGATCACATGACTAGACTGGAGTGGATATAAAAAAAAAGCCTAAATATGCAGTATTTTTATATAGGTTAGAGAGTATAGGTGGGTGGGGGGGGGGGGGGGCATTTTTTAAGAATAAATGTAGTTAGGGTTTTCTACCATTTTAATCTCCCCAGTACAAACAACTAAGTTTCAGAACAATTTTAACAGTGTTAAAATGTATTTCACCACACTATAGTTAATTTCATATCAATGATAGCACATCACAACAATACAACATAAGGAGGAATAGATGGTGTTTTGGGGTGTAATTCTCAGTACACCCATGCTGTGTGTGAGAAATATCTTATTAACCACTTGACCTCCGGAAGGTTTTACCCCCTTCATGAGCAAGGCATTTTTTGCTATTCACACTGCACTATTTTAACTGGCAATTGCCTAGTCATGCAACACTGTACCCAACTTAAATTTTTATCATTTATTTAACGCAAAAAGAGCTTTAAGTGGTAACTGATCACCACAAGGTTTTTTATTTTTTTATTATATACATGACCCCATTATATAAAAAACCCCAATGTTTTCTACTTTCTGGTATCAAACATATCCAATTAAAAAAATGAAAATATCTAATTTCTTCATAAATTTAGGATAAAATGTATTCTGCTACATGCCTTTCTCAATAAGTGTATATTAATTGGTTTATGCAAAAGTTATAGCATCTACAACCTATGGTATACAGTATATATATTTATATTCATTCATAATAGTGGCAAGGACTGCCTCTCCTTTGAAAAGTGCTCCATGCAATATGTTTCCTCCTTACTGCCTGTTTTAACCCCCTAAATGGAGCATCATCATGCAATGTGTACGTTTGAAGGCCTTTGTAGTACAGCCCCATTCACCTCCGTGTATACTTCCAGCTGAGTCCACAGAATGTGTACATCCCTGGCTGCTGCCACTGCAGCTAAAGGGGGAGCAGTTGGGGTGGTTTCAATGGGCTTCCCTACCCACAGAAACACAGGTGAGGAAGTCACTGACCCTTTTTTTAAAACTGCACTGCACCGAAAATGCACTGCAACTGCCAATCCATGGGGTACCATTAAGAATTAATGACACCCCTGTGCGCATTCCCCGACACACAGTAATGTGAATATAAGGCTTGATTCACATTACTACGTGTTGGGGAATGCACACAAGGGTGTCATTAAGAATTAAGTACATACAGTAATGTGAATCAAGCCTTATATTGGGGTGCCATGATACAGAATACTTTTCAAGGGCACCATGACTGGAACAGGGTTGAGAAACACTGATCTAGACATGAACACAAGTGACCTATCTTGGCTCTGAACACTTTCTCCAGCTGTCAGCAAGTCAAGCAATTTGGTGGCATAGCTGCAATGGGGGTGAGGAGGGTACAAGCTCTCCTTCCCCCTCCCCCAACCATTTCTGTTCCTGCACAGCATGGCCATCCCAGAGATTACACTGATTCTGGCAATAACCTGGCAACCTGGTGCCTTTTGAACAGCAAACTAATATTTAAACAACTAATACAACAGCTGGACCATAAAAGTGAAAACATATCTATCAAATAAAGGTTGGTAATACAATGTCTATCTGACTGATTCTCTACTTCTGTAACTTCAATTGTGCTTTACATTTTTTCTACGTGTGTATGTATTAAAACACACAAAATAAAAATAATTTTGAGATTGAATGTCTTTTATCTTCTTACCTTTAAACTCAAGCCCACGAAGCTGGAAAGTAATGAAACCATTTCCAATTTCGACTAAGTGTACTAGTGCATTTAAATAATCAGACACTAAAATAAAGCAGTCACCCGCGGAATAATTCCCCCATCGCCCCAAGATCAGGTCTCCACACAAAGAATGTTGAAGGGATCTTGAAAGGTGCTCATAAAAAATTGAATTTAAATTGTTGTCATCATTTCCTGAAATTAAAAAAAGTATAATTAAAAAATAGGGAAATAAATATACATAGTTTGTCCTTTATCAACCATATTATTGAACTTTGCAAATGGAAGAAATCTTTTCTATAAATAGAAAAAAATGTGTACACAGAAATACAACTAGAGTTATTTAGTATGGATAACTAAAATTTATTTTATAAATATATTTACAAAATGTATATATACGGTATATATGGTTGGCTGCAGTAGGTAGCCAATACGTTGGTAAATAACATAAATGTACTGTATATGATACATTATTACAACATTGTAGATGTCTGTATGGATTCAACTTGCAGCCTTGTGCATTTATTTGATGGCTGAACATCATGAATCCTAATAATACAGCAGTGGGTTTTTAAAGCATTATTATTATTATCATGATTTATATAATCTCATCATGCTACCGCATGGAGTGTTACAAAGAAAGGTAATACAGGTAAAACAAGGGCATAAAAAAACATATTACATGACAAGCAAAAACAACTGAACAGCAAACCAGATACTGTGCATAGACGGAAAATACAATAGATACAAAAGCCCTGCTGTCATTTTGCATAATCAATTATTGATTTATTATTAAGTTAGACATTTACCTGGATCTTTTTCAATTTGCTGTTGTAGTCTTGTGTTCAAATTGTCAAGTCTCACAGTGCTGGTAGCATAAAGAAAGCAATAATAATGAAAAAAAACATTTTGTTTTCTATTAATTAGCATGAAGCCATTTTTATCTTGCATTCTTTTACATTCAATCAAGTTTGCCTTGTTGGAAAAAAATAGATGTTTTATGTTTAGAAGGAAGTTATAATAGCTTGCTGTCATTTATACAACCTTTTTTCTTTTTAAAACTTTTTTACACAGTGCAGTGGTGATGCTGAAGCAGAAACAGTTTCCTTTCCTTAAAATAAGCCATCTGTATACAATAAAACAGAAGGGGTTGGGGATAAGATTGTTATGTTTTCAATACATGTTGTTAGGATATAGCTTTTACCTGTTTTTTTTCTCCCAGAATTTGATTGGTCTTGCATATGATGTAACAAAAATTACACTGCCAAGAAAAGGACTAAGTGGCATTGAGAAGACTGAAGTAGCAACTGTTTGAATGAAAAGCATAGCAGAATCTGAATCAACATTGTGTCAAGGTTTACTGAGAACACTTTATTTTTGTAAATACTGTATATTATGAATTTAACGTAATCTGCAATGTGCAAGTTCCCAAGTGTTGAGCTGTCTAAAAACATTAGAGATTTCATTCATTTGATTGGGCACTTTAACAGTCAAATCTGGGCGCATTCATATGTACTTTTTTATAATCAAGGTTTATTAGTTTTCCAAAAACCATCACAGAAAAATTAAGGTAAGGCCTCATGTACACATGAACTCACCTAGTCGTTAAACTCTCCTGGCAGCAGAAAAACGCTAAATGCGTCAAAAACAAGTGTAAACACGGTACCGTGTTTAGTGCTTGGACATTTTTTAATTTGAGTGGTCAGAGTATTTTCCACTGACATGGATATAAACGCTCAAGTGCTAAACGCTTAGTCATGTTTACACGTGTTTTTGCTGCGTTTAGTGGTTTTTGGCCAAAATGTTCCACTCCTGAACGTGATTATTCTGCATTCAGAAGAGGAACATTTAACTGCTCCTAAACTCTAGTATAAGCCTATGTGTACATGAACACACAGGCTTTTTATTGAGTTGAGTTCAGGCGTTCTTGCAAAAAAAGCCAAAAGCTCCTAATCTCACGTTTATGAGCAGCGATGTACATGAGGCCTAACAAAAATGAGATGCCAGTATTGTACAACGATACAAGGAAGTGTATGGACTTTTAAAGGGAGGTAAAGAAGAAATAAAAAAAAAAAATGAATAAAATTAGGAAAATAAAGACATAAAGGATTAAGAAAGAAAAGGAAAAGATAGGAGCAAAAGGCAATTTTTGCTAATAAAAAAGGCCTAGAAACTGAGTCTGGATGGGGGACTCGAAAGAAAGAGGAAAGAAAGGAAAAGGGTGAAAGAAGGGAAAAATGGAGGAAAGGGAAGAAAGTAGGAAAGGGTAAGCGAGAAAAGGAAAAAAATAAAAAAAGGGAAATCAAGGAATGCTGGGGAGGGGTCCAAGAAATGACACAGTACTTATGGGGTGGGCCGTTAGAGAAAAAGGGGAAGAAAAAAAGAAGAACATAGAAAAAAAGGTCAATTTTTTTTAGGAAACGAAGAAGAAGGGGAAATTGAAGTGTGGCAGGGAAAGAGTCTTTTCGATTGAACCAAAGGTAGAAAAAAGAAAGAAAAGAAGGTAAGAAGCAGACAGATAAAAGATTTACATGGAAAAATAAGAAAATGCGTGCTATCACATTAGAAGAGGGAGAAGAATCCAAGCAATCAGTATAGGGTGGGTGTGGAGAAAGTGGAGAGTATCTTTGTTTGGAATATAATAAATTAGGTAAATGAAATAGAAAAATAAGGTAAAAAAAAGGGGGGTTTTGGGGTTGGGGGGTGTGGGGGTTTGTTGGTGGGGTATGGGGGGTGGGGGGTGAGGGTTGATGAGGGTGAGGTTGGGGGTGGGGTTTGGGTTGTGGTTGGGAAGGTGTGTGGGGGTATGTTGGTGTGGGGGCTGGAATTGGGGTTGTGGGTGGTGTGGGTGGGGGGTTGGTGTGGGTGTGGGTTTTGGTTGGGGTCGTGTTGGGTGTTTGTTAGTGGTTGGAGTGGGGGGTTAGTTTTTTTAAGGTGGTTTGTGTAATTTGTTTAGGGGGGGGGGAGAGGTGATGGGATAGTTAGGAGAAAGGAAATGGTTCGTTTTGAGGGTTAGTATTTCTTTGAGAAGTAAGAAGAAAAAGGGAGATGAATTTTTTTTTTTTATATGTAGTGGAGTTTGTTTGTTTTTAGAGTTTGGGGTTGTTTGATGGAGGGGGAGGGGTGGTGGGGGGGTATTTGAAAAATTTGGGTTGTGGAAATGGTTTTTGGGGGGTTGGGGGTTTTGGATTTTTACTTGTTGTAGGGGTTTTGATTAACAGAGGGGTTTTTGGTTTTTTGGAAAGGAGAAATAACTTGTAGAAAGAAAGATTCAACAGAAAGTGCTTGTTTATTTAAAGTGATAGGATAGTTGGTTTTTGGGAACATATTTGAAGGGTAGAAAAAGAAGACTGAGTAGGATCAATTAATTTAGAAAGGGTTTTAGTTGTGTATTGATAAAATTGGGTATAAAGTTTGTAATCAGTTTAATGTATTCCAGAAAGAAAGTGAGAAAAGATATCGAAAGAAAGTAAAGATAAAACAAATAGGTGTAAGAATAACAAGGAAGATTATTTTGTAATCTTTTAAGAAAGATGTTAATGATTTTTTAAAGAGGAGGAAAGAAATTTTTTTGGAAAATAAGTGACCCACATTTAGAACAAATGAAGAAAGAGAAAGGATTGAAAAATTAAGAATGTCAAAAGAAAGAAGATCGGAAGAAAGATTATGAAAAGAAAGTTGAAGAGAAGTGGAGCAGAAAGAATTTAAGTGGGTGGGGGATTAGTGAAAAAAGAGTAAATGAAAGGTTTTTGTGGATTTGGGGGATTTACGGTTAATAAGTTTTTTTTTTTAAAAATTTTGAATTGTTTAAGGAATTTTACCAGAAAGAACCAAGTTTTAAAATTTGTCCTTAGTGGGCTGGGTGGGTTTTTTAGAGGTTTGGTTTTTGTTAAATGTTGTTATTCTAGTGGGTGCACAGGTTCGGAGTTAATATTTTTTTTTGTAAGGTCTTTTTCATTAGTTAAAGTAAGAAGGTAACAAAGAAAGAAGATTGGGAAAAAGGAAAATAGAGGAAGATAAAGATAAAGAAGGTATTAGAGAAGAAGAAAGGATTGTAAGGTGGTATAAAGAGGTAAGAGTAAATTATGGAAGAAAAATCAAATATTTTGGAGATAAGAAATAATTTGAGAGTTAGGAAAGCAACCAGAAAGTAAAAAAAAAAGAATACGTTATAAAAAAAATGAAAGATTTGAAAATGAACTGGTTTAAAATGAAATTAAGAGGAGTGAGAGAAAGAAAATAGAGGGGGTTTAGAAAATAAGATAAAGGGTGTAAGAGAAAATGTAAGATAATAATGAGGTGTGGCAGAAAAATTAAGAAGGGGGTAAAAGTTGGACCGCAGGTTGAGAAAGAAGAGGGAAAGAGGAACGAGTAAGGAAGGGGAAAGAAGGGGAATAAAGTAGGTAAAGGGGATTAATGTTGACAAGTAAAGAGTGGGCTGGTAAGGAAAGAAAGGAATAAAAAGGTGATTGTGAAGAAAAGATAAGGGGGGATGATGAAGTTACGAGTATTTTTAAGTTCAAAAGTAAAGGAAATGAAAATGGTAAAAGAAGGCCGGAAAGGAATGACCCAAAATGGATTGGATATTAATGTTGGAAGGGACAGGAAGAAGGTAAATATGAAGAGAGGTAGGGATGGATTAAGAAATGGGATAAGGGGTGAAGGTAAGGAAAAGAATAAAGAAAATAACTGGAACAAGGAATATGAAAAAAAAAAGAATTTGGGGGAAGTAAGAAAAAAGGTCGGAGGATAAGGAGGAATAAAAAAGGTGAACGGGGGAAAGGGGATAGGAGAATAAAAAAGGAATTGGGTTAGAGATGTTAGAAACGCAAAGAAGTATTGAAAAGGAAAATAAGAAATTTTGGGGAAAGGGTAAGCAATCAGCGGGACCTTGGGAAAAGGAAAGTATAAAAGTCAGGATAAAATGGTGTAAAAGAAATAAGGAGGGGAAAAGAGTAACTATAGGAAAGAGTGAAAGAAATTGGTGGTGAGAGGAAGTAAAAAAGAAAGGGACGAGGGTGTGGTAGGGGGGAAAGTAATTGGAAAAACAAATAAAAAGAAAAAAGAAAAAACTTGGTAAAGATGGGTGGTAAGAGTTAATAGAAATAAGAAACGGAAAAGAATCCAGTGTTGGATAGGATTTAAAAAAATGGAAATGAAGCCGAAAAGAAGTAAGCAAATAAGGAGTAAGTACAGGGAGAAACAAGCTTTTAATAGTCAAGTTAAAAAAGATAAAGAATAAAGTGGCACAAAAAGAGCAAGGAGAAGAAGGGTCAATAATTAAGAATATGGTGATTAAAAGGAAAAGAGGATAAAGAAAAAGGAAGGAAAAGTAAGCGAATAAAAGATGTAAAAAAGGTACATAAGGGTACGGCGTAGGGTTAAAAAACAAAAAAGATAACATAAAGTTTTGCGGTAGATAATGGTTGGGGGGGATATTAAGACATTGGGGGTTGGATAGACAAGAAAAGATAATAAGGGGGGTAATGAGCAGCTAAAGAGTCTCATAAGTTCGTTGCAAGTATATAAAGGACTAGAAATAATGAAAGGAGGAATAAATAAAGAAAAAAAGATATAAGTAAGTAATGGGGAGGGGAACTGGTTCCCCATAGTAAATAAAAAAGATATGAATAATATAAATATTATACAGGTTGGAAGCAGGGTAGGTGGGGGCGGAAAGCCATGGTATGGTTGGCGGGAAGGCCAGTAGGGTGGGTAGGGGCAGGGATTTTTAAGAAAAATAGTTTTTATAATGATATAAAGGAAAGTTAGTAAAGTATAAAAAGGATTGAAATAGTAAAAAAGGAAAGTAAAAGGAAAAGAAAGAAATAAAAAGGAAAGAAGATTTTAAGAAAATCAAATAGAGGAAAAAGTTAAAAAAGAAGGCTTTTTAAAAAAAAATAAGAAAAAAAAGATTTAGAAATGAATTGAATAAAGAAAAAAAAAATAAATATATAAGCAATAAAGATGGGGCGAGGGGTGTGTGTTAAAAAGATTAGCAAGTAGGAAAAAAAATTAAAAAGTAAGAGAAACGAAACGAGTAAAAAGGAAGAATAAAGAAGAAATAAAAAAAGAAAGAGCAGATGGAAAAAAAAAAAAAAACCCCACGGAAAAAAAAAAAACCAAGAAGAAGGACTGGGTATTGTCGGACTGAGGAACAAACAAAAGAAATGAATTAAAGGATTTGAAAAGAGATGGGGACACCTGGGTAAACAAAGTAGGAGAAAAAAAGGTGAAAAGTCAATGGAAAAAAGTAAGTGAAAGATGGACGAAATTAGATGAAGAAAAAAAAGGTGAATAACAAAACAAAGGATAGAGCCAAGGAA